TAATCCATGGTTACACATCAAACCGGACCTGGTCTACAGTAATCCCTGTGTTTTTTTTTTTGTGTTTCCTCAATTTGTATTGTATCTTTTGATATTATTGTGTTTGTTTGTTTGTTTTTTCCATTTTGTCCCTGTGAGTTTTTCTTCTTTCTTTCTTTTTGTAACTTACGATGTACTTCTAAACATAAGGAATGTCTCCTTCATTATTACAGAGAAATTCCTTATTTCTGAGACTATGAAACGCCCACCTACCTTACAATCCCCCTGATAACACTTGGATATGTGGTTTGGGTCGGTGTTCCTGCAGTTTGTTCCATCAATATACGACAGCCACGTGGTGTTGTTATCCACCGTCCTATTCATGCTGCACACATGTCGACCTACATTGTATAATCAATATTATCAAGTGTTAGTCTATCATAGCATAATCCTAACATAAAAAAGGTAGATATGATACTATTTCACGACACAACATAATATGTACATACTGCAATTTAGCTGAAGTTGAAGTAGATTCCATTTTTATAATTTAATGTTCATTTTATTCAAATTGTGTCAAAAATATACTAAGAAATATTGTCATCGAAAACCTAGTGTGTTCAAGCTAGTTCAGCTTTAATTGTCAACAATGTAAAGGAATTGAAATTTTGTATATTCGGATTTCAGGAAAAGAAAAAGGAATTGAAGGTAGATTATAAATTCTGTTTCATGTGAGCTTGTAAACAATTTGTTACAGACCACTTTCCGTTTGTTTGTATCATGTGTACATAATCCTAGGGAATAAAGAACATTGAGCTATAGCAGAAAAGGCACGTTTATGTAAACCTTATAAAAATAATTGAGAAAAACTTATTTATCAACTTTGAAAACGGTATAGAGTCGGTCGTAATACATTGTATAGAGATTTTATTAAATGTGTCCTCATTTTATTACACAAACACATATTTTCAGCAATGTCGTTTTCAGACAAATTAAAATGTTGTTTTTTGTTGTTGTTTTTTTAAAACATTATTTTATTTTATCATGAAAACAGCAGTAAGAGTTCGTATACTTAAATACCTATGGCTGCTTGTTGCTGAGTTCGTTGCTGGGCTTTGTACATGGTATCAGACATACCATAGGGCTGAAATCAAGTTACATAATACATGAATATTGAGGATATTGACTGCTTCATTTTTCAACTATTCAATATTTAGTACAAAATATCCTGCTACTACGCCTACATTCTGATATCTATAAATCGATCGTGTTAAAGTCAAAGTTTTATAGAATTAATTCAATGAACGATACTATCAGCTTCAAAGCCAATAAATAATTCACCGTAATAGCAGTTTATATAAATGATTGTCCTGCACAGTATAATTTGTTTAATGTAACAAGGATTAAACTACATGTATATGGAGATTGTTTAATACCTTAATGTTACAGAGCCTCACTACACTCTCCCTTCCTGTGCAGTATTTGCCGTCGTATCGTGGCCTGCAACATAGTTATGTACATGGACATTAAAAACCGTCAAGCAAATCAAGTTACCAAGCTTTCCGACCATTACGACAGGTCAATCAACACTCTCTAAACAGTGTTATGGCTAAACGGTCGAAATGTTTTTAGGAATGCATTTGAAAGGAATAGGAATAGATAGTTATATATTCTTTTATTAAGTCAAAGGACAAAAAAGATTGCTCAAAACTAAAAATGTTGGTAACAACATGTACAACTTATATTACAAAACCTGGCCGCCAAACGGAGCAATAAGTAAACATAGGATGTTATACACATACTGAAGAATGAGATTATTTTGATAATGCTATGATTTGTACCTAACGCGTACATATGTTGTTATTTAGAACATTATATTTACAAAGATAACCGCTGTGTTACCATACTTGGGATTGTTGCACTTCCTTTCGCGAAAGCGGACTCCACCTCCGGCCGTTCTGGAACAAATTGACCACAACTCCCAGGAAGACCATCCACCTTGGATAGGCGCAGGTCCGTTAGGTCCGATATCCACACACCGACCCTTAATGCACCACTGAACAATACAAAATGTTCGTTTTCAAATAGAGCAACGACACAAATTTAATCAAGACGTTATGAGATGCATTTTATATATGTATCCTACCAGGTAATATACAAAACATGATCTTATATATTCCGATATGAACTACACTTGAAATTCATTATATAAAATTAAAATAGCTTGAACCTAAATGATAAGCATTTAAGTTAGATTCTTTCAGTGAAATATCATTTGACGTCACGATATTCCGGTTGTGGAAAAAACAACTCGACAATTAATTATGATTTACATATATATTCATTTATTTTGAGTTTATTTAAATATAAACTACTCGCCGAAGTTCATAGTTTAAACATGAGAGTAAATCATCCTGGATGATCAAGATATCCTCTTAACATATAATATACGAATAAATTGTCCTCAAAGAGGAGCTCACTTTCAACGTTTTAAATGTGCCCATGTATAGGTTTAAAACGAATTGCCCTATGCTTTCCATAAGGTGCCCTTAAGTTTGAGGGCATTCATTGTAATATCACTCGTAGTCCTTACCTTTCTGGATCCATTACCGCATTCAGTACCATCCACCAGGGGATAACCGATGTCAATGCAATGTCGTTGGTCATAGCAGCACGAAAGTTTGCCACATTTATTCTTAAAGTAAAATACGTCATTACGCATAGGCATCATATGGATGGCAATTATCAAAACATAGGAAATATTTCATAAGGGGAGATCTTACGCCACAGTATAACTTTCGCCATTTTCTCTCTCAGTATATAGATTTAACCAGCGGAGGGCGAAAGTTGAATTGGGCAAAAGTTCCCCGGTTTAGAGTAACAATGAAATACTTTATAAAATATATAATACATTGATATGGAAATCTTACATAAAAATTTAAAAAAGTACATTATGGAAATACAAAATAAAAGCGACAATGATATAAAATATTTATTTCCATTTTCCCCGAACCTACTATTTGTAAACTGAATCCTTGATTTCTGGAAGATACAACGACGAATTACCAAATATGTTGCCTATAACAGTATTTTTATTCATTTTCAGTAACTCAGAAGGAAGACGTATTGACCTAACTTAATTTGTTGTGTTACCTTTCTGTTGTAGTTAGGCCTGAAGTTATTCCCGAAGGTCAGCTTACACTGGGCCTCCTCGTCATACAGACTCCCTGGTAGTATCGGCGTATTGCTGGCGTGTCTAGTCTTGTTCCTCAGACATTTAGAATTATCGGACCTAAATAGATTAATTTTGTATCACAGAGAACTATCCATTATCAATGTACGTCACTGTTTGAATTTAAAAAGTTAGATTAAATTTGATAAAATGTAATAAAAATTCTATTAAAGGTGAAGTCACGACTGTTTTAAGTAGGATGGGCGTCGATGTGAGTGTGAAGGTTGTGTGAATGTGGGAGAGGCTTTTTGTGGGTGAAAATTTAAACTCACTCGAAAAATGTCCTCATTGCTTCGTCACTACAGCTTGACCAATGGAAACTCGATTGACCATAAGTCGCAAAACTCTGCATTATGTTTCCACTTTCATTACATTTGGCGAAATCATTATCATGACTCATCTGCAATCTGAAAACAAAATGTTCGCTGTCAATTAAAAATTGTATCCGATTGAAGCGTTCTGTGTTGGATAAAAGTACAAAAAAGCACTGATGTCGAATTATAAACAATGTTTCAAAATCACTTGTAAATACTCCAACCTCATCTTATTCTTATCTCATTGAACACTTTTTTACAAACCATTTAACTGGCACTAAAACAAATTGATTATAAGTGAACGGCCGTGAAATCCCTTACGTATGTCCGATCTCGTGAGCAATTATGAAGGCCGTGCCCAGCCCTATATCCTTTGCCAGTATACAGTTGCTGTCCTTATCATGACACATTCCACTGGTGAAAGCTAAGCCGTTCACATCATACGCCACCGTCTCCTCTTTTGTGAACAGCTTTTGTCTCGAAACAGTGAAGAAACGAATAAAATAAGAGTGCAAATACTCTACTGAAAAAGATTAGCATACGATTTTTTCAAGGCATATTATTTGTACCATTTAATCAAAATGTTGATTATGTTTCGTTTCCCTATCGTGAGAAAAAAGGGAAGAAGGAACCAAAAGAGGCAATTTGTAGGCAATCCTCATACGTAGATGATTCTGATGCACAAATATTACTCAAAAGCAAACAGGATTATTACGTAGTATATATAGAAATGTCACAATTCATGTTAGAAAGTAGTCGGACCACCTCAAATTTCGATTCGGAACAGGTCACTGCTCATAACACTTGCAAAGTTAAGCACAGACGGAAATGGCATAGAAACGAGAAAGCATGGCCCTGACCTGTAATTATCTGGGGAGTTTTCATTGTGTCTTAGCGTTATTATTTTTATTTTACTCACTTAGTTACGAGTATGGCTAAGTCAGCTCTGTGTAGCGGACTCGTGTTGGAGTACCAATCTGCAAACTTGCTCAACATACGGTAACTGTTCGTTGTGTTACCCAAGAACTGTATACAGAAAGTTATACTTAGTATTGTTGTGGTCAACAATAATGTTCAGCTGACAACATACACGCACATTTCTTTTAAGCACACTGTTTAATCAATTAGGGAAATCCAAATTTGTTTATTTATAATGTAAGCATATTTTAATGACAATCTTGTTCTAGCGCTTTTTGTTTTTTATTAAGTTGCAAATATTGCAGAAGGGCTAACTAATGTGCTTAACCTATAAATTTCGGTAATGCACATAAATTTGAATGAGCTTGAGTAAGAAGGTGACCCTGCTTTTGCTTGGATTTAACGGCAGAAGCTGTGTAATTAAGCATACACATTACACATATGATACATTTCCTGATGTTTTGAGCGAGGTGTCTTCATGGGGGTTAGATCAATAACCAACAAAAAGACAACCTCAACTGAGTATAAACAATATCAATGGGATGACGTCATAGAGAAAAGGCCTCAAAACAGGAATCCTATCTTACTTCTTGTGTCTTTGTTGGAGCATCGAAAAATGGCACTCCTCGTTCGTCTGGTTTGACGAAGTGGGAAATAATTACGCCTTATGTTCTCCTTTACCCTTAATACATTGCTTCAGACGTCTATATACTGTCACCACTAAACATTCTAATTTCATCTACCATATATATTTATATATATTACCTGTGTATTGCTGACCACTGTTATTCGAGTGATCGTTGGCGAGAGATGGTAGGTCAGCGTTTCGTCATGGAATAAGGAGAAAACCTGTCAAAATGATCACAACACATCAGAGACGAAACTGTCGACTACATCTCATTTATCAATACCTAGCTGATAAAAGCTGATAAAAAACAAAAAAGCACGATTCATATACATAGATTGGCAAAACAGTATTGATCATAGTCGTAATATTAATGTATGAAACAAGTCACATTGCAATAGCGTTAATTATGTAACCAACGTGTGATGCCAATGAAAAAAGATTTTGTGAACGTTTTTATACAGTAAAACATAACTTTGTTGACTTTTTTAATCATTTTTTCCAGTTTGAGAGCATGTTCGTAAAATCATAATTAAATACAAATAAACCAGCATTTTAGCCACAAAATCGGATACCAAAGGATATAATTTTATCAAGAGATCGGTAAAGTCGTGTATCATTAGAACTCCGTACAATATTCATGTTTATGGTGAGGAAGGAGGTGAGGTTCAGTCCGTATAGACTGTTGTCATCTGCGTGGTTGTTAACCACTGGTCCACTGGTCACTATCTCTACGGTGGCCAGCGTGTCCTGGCGAGTCCTCGTGTTGTTTTTCGGAACACCTATTAAACACAGAGAAACATAAAAATAAATAACCTTTATTTAACGTCATGTACATTGTCAACAACAAACATAAGATCCATAGAGATTTTATTACGACTCCGCTAAGGAAACAAATGTTGTTTTCGTGGTGGAGAAAACCCACGGGTAAAAAACCGACCATGTCGGAGGAATAACAACTTACCCTACCACTCCCTTGTTCCGCCACTGTTGGGGATCGAACCGAAATTCTTGGGAGAGTTAGTGGTCTGAAGACCACGCTTGATTGCACACAGTAGTAATGACTGTGCGCGTTAGCGATCACGGCTACCGAGGCACCCAAACAATAGTTCGAACTCAAAATCATTGAAACTATGGTAGAATTTAATTACATTAAAGTTTGTTTTAATTACTAGGAGCATAAGACATTGTGTGAGACCTAAAATAAGCAAAAAGTACAACGAAATAACAAAATGTCTTCCAGAGGACTACACATCTTCTGCTTCATTGCCTTAGACATGTTGATAAATGATAAAAAAGTAACTTTAGTAACATTATATTGTCCAAACTTTAGATACACCTAGTTTTTATCAGCAAATAATAGATGTGATAAATGAATATAGTAATGAATTTTGTATTATATGTGGAGATTTTAATTTAGTGCTGAACCCTGACCTTGATTATGATAGGAGTTATAAACAGATAAATAACCCTAAAGCAAGAGATAAAGTAATTGAACTTATAGATGAATTCAGTCTAGTAGATAATGTTAGAGAGCAACATCCAGATTGTAAGAGATATGTACATGGAGGAGAAATAATCCTATTAAACAGGCGCGTTTAGATTTTTTTCTTGTATCAGAAAATATGTTAGGAATGTACAGAACTCTAGTATTGAAACTGGTTACAGATCTGATCATTCTATACCTACTATTACAATAAAATTTAATGAGTTTAAGAGAGGAAGAGGACTTTGGAAATCAATAATTCTTTATTACATTATGAGGATTATCTTAAAACTATAAATAAACTTACTTTTGAAATTAAAAAGCAGTATGCCCTATTAATATATAACCTAAATTTTATTAATAACATATCAGACGAGGATATCCAGTTCCAAATCAACGACAAACTTTTCTTATACACCTTACTATTCGAAATACGCGGCAACACTATTTCACATAAGAAAAGGTTGCAAAATAAACAAGAAAATACTCTTATAGAATCTATTAACAGTTTCGAAAATATGGATAATGTCAATCTGGATCAAGCTGGTGAAAATAAGAAGGAATTGGAAAAAATAAGACAATTTAAAATGAGGGGTAGCATTATAAAGTCAAAGGCAAAATGGGTGGAAGAGGGAGAGAAGCCAACAAATTATTTGTTTAATGTTGAAAATAGACATTTTACCTCGAAAATTATCCCGATGACAGAAAAAGAAAATAGTGATGTTATAAGAAAACAAGAAGATATTTTAAATGAAGTTAAATTATTTTATGAACAACTGTATGCAAGTAATAGTAATATCGAAGAAGTGGATTTAAATAAATTTCTATCTAATTGTAATGTTCCAAAATTAAACAATGTAGAATCTTTATCATTAGAAGGTAATATAACTTTTACTGAAGCGTCACATACTTTAAAACATATGAAAAATAATAAAAGCCCCGGGTCGGACGGATTTACAGTAGAATTTTTTAAGTGTTTTTGGAAACAACTAGGTAAATTTGTTGTAATATCTAATAAGTATGCATATATAAATGGAAACTTATCTATAACTCAAAAACAAGGAATTATTACATGTTTACCAAAAGGGGATAAACCAAGGTAATTTCTTAAAAATTGGAGACCTTTTTGTCTTTTGAATATTGTTTAAATCTGGCTCAACAGCTTCTAGATTAAAAACTGTTTTAGATAAATTAATTAACACTGACCAGACAGGATTTATTTCAGGCAGAGTTTTAGTGGAAAATACACGATTAATTTACGATATAATGCAGTATACAGAGGACAATGATATTTTAAAAAGGCTTTTGATTCTGTTAGCTGGGAGTTTATTGATAATGTATTTAAATATTTTAATTTTGGTGAGGATATTAGAAGTTGGATAAAAACATTACATAATAACTCTATGTCTGCAATTAATCAAGGTGGTAATATCTCGTCTTTTTTTTAAATTAAGAGGGGTTGCCGTCAAGGTGATCCGATAGCTCCGTATATTTTTATTTTGTGTTCAGAAATACTTGCAATTAGACTTAGAAATAATAATTATATTAGGGGTATACATGTAAACAACTGTCCACTACTTCTCAATGATTAAGAATTGAAGTAGAAGAATATTAACACCAATAGGAAGAATACAAATCATTATACATTTATCAATGTCCCAATTTAATCATCTATTTATCTTCTTACCAAATCCAGATGACAATTTTATTAAAAAAAAAAAATCCGAAATTTTTATTTTTTTTATGGAAAAGTAAAGTGAATAAAACAAAACGGGATATAATCATCAATAGCTATCAGGAAGGGGGTCTTAAAATGATCCACATCAAATCTTTTATTGAAGCCTTGAAACTTAATTGGATACGTAGGTTGCTTACATCAGGGGGTATGGCAAGTGTTATTTAAAAAATATGCTAATAATGAAATTTCATTTTATTGTGGTTCAGAATACTTATCGATTATTCAAGGCAATTGTAAAAACCCTTTTCGGAAAGATGTGTTTCAATCATGGAGAAAAAATAGCAGATAAAAAGATTGTATAAGAGAGATAAAAAGTAGATTGAAAATGCCTATTTGGTATAATAAATATCTTACAGTAGGAACCAAGTGTTTATTTTATAAGCAATGGTTTGAAAAGGGTGTTATAATTATAAATGACTTATCAAAAGATAATAATTCTGGTGTTTTTTTTATAGTTTTACAGAATTTTCACAAAAATTTGATGTAAAAACTAACTTTCTCACATATCAAGGTATTATAAATACTATAAAAAAAACTACATGTCCAATGATGATACTTTAAATACTTTGATTAGTTATCCATACATACCCTTAAATTTAGAAATATTTATGAAGCAAAAAAAAGAAACTCAATATTTTTGTTGTTGTTGTTGTGCCAAAATAGTTCCATATTCACCGGGAAAAACAAATGGAATGAATTGTTTGAATTCGATGATGACACATGGAAATTGATATATATGATTACAGTAACTAGAAATTCAAAATTACAATGGCTTCAATACAGAATAAATCAACACATTTTAACAACAAATTCTTATCTTTTCAAAGCAGCTCTTAGCGATAGTGCCCTTTGTTTTCAATGTAAGACTGAAATAAAGACAACAATTCACACACTATGGGAATGTGAGAAAGTACAAGACTTTGTACAAAATGTTGAGTTCCCTCTTGATGCATTGTTAATCCCATTTGGTTTTAACAAGGAAACCTTCATTTACGGTTTAATTAATCAAAACAGTATCAGTAGTAGGATAGATCATACCATAATTCTACTTATCAAACAATATCTTAATGAATCGAGATGTTTACCAATGTCATTGTCAGAAGCTGCACTTAAGAACCTTATCAAGGACACATATTTTACTCAGAGATATATTGCTGTTAATAAAAGTGAATTATTTTTATTGAACTTAATTACTGAATAGAAAAATGGGAAAGTCTAATTAATATTGCTTAAATCCTGTCTTTGCCAAAATATGAACATATAGAATTTTCTTACATAGACTTGTACTTCTAAATACATAGATGTAAAACTCCTTGAACTTTCTGACACATCTATATAGCTTCTTTGTTTCTCAATCCCCCCTCCCCCCCCCTCATTTTTTTCTCTCTCTTTAGTCTTACTTTCCCTTCTTTACCTCTAGGACCTGCTCTAAACTCTTTTCTATCACTTCTAAACAATGCTTATATATAACGGACATAATTTAGCTGTAATTTAATTTGACATAAACATAATTCATCATTAATTATACCTGGAAATAATGGAGAGGTACCATGGCCATATATGCAGTTTAATATAAATGAATATTTAATGAATGAATCGTAATGTGTAAGAGTAATTATGTGTATGTATGATATATTTGTATTGTTATAAACTTGGAAAAAAATAAAAAATAAATAAAAAACAAACATTTCTGCTTTATTACCTACATTTAATCTAGCTTAAGCCTAAGTGATATCACGTCCTCAAAGAGGGAACCAAGGGAGAGACACCGAAATTACAAGGAAAGCATGAAATAATGGTTCAAAATGTTCCCTGCGTAAAATGTGGTTTACGTTTTACTCGAGATGCGTCGGTCATGCGCAAGTTTTAGGAAAATAATGAATCACCGTGATATCAACAAATGTCTGACAATACACATTATTACGTTTCAAAGTCTTATTTTTTACCATTGCACAAAATCATGATAACAATTCATTTTTTGAATGAGGTATGTTTTGTGTGAACATTTGTTGTCAGTAATTTAACGAGAGCTATTGATAAGTTTAATATACCTGTAGTTAAATATTCGGGAATTATTTGAAATCCAGATGCACGTCCCGGCGAATCGTAAAAATGTATATCTCAGGAAATGTAGATCATTTTCAGTTATCCGGTAATTACAGTCAAATGTATATAAGGAGACCATCCCAAGACTGGCCCAACAGTGGTCTCTTTAAGGCACGATAGACTAGTGGTAGGACGCCGGGCTCGTGACAAAAGGGTTGCGGGTTCGAGTCACGCCACGACACTGTGTTGTATCTTTGAACAAGATACTTTACTCCGCTTGTTCCAGTCTACTCAGCTGTAAATGAGTACGTGGTTGGGCAGTGCTAGTATTGTAGAATGCTAGCTGTGAGCGCCGAAATGGCATGCTCCCCGGGGTGTTGAGAAATATATTGGCTAGTTGCAAAAGCCCTATAACCACGGTTAATAATTTGTGAACCGCTTTGAGCCGACCTACGAACTAGGTTGTAATAAAGCGGTAAATAAGAACCTCGAATTATCATTATTATTATTATTTAAGGAGTTCAATATTTTTCAATATTTTGTTAACTGCTTTGAAGAAATGAGAAATAGGTGGCTTAATAGGGGTGGTTTTTCAAGCAGATTCGAACATATATAAGACGCTAGATAACGGTTGGTAACTATTTCATATTTTCTATCAATCAATAGATGGGCTGCATTACGAACATATTGATTAAGTACCGTTTACCTGGCGTTTTCCTGGTTAGCTTGTTCACAATGTAGGTTCTCCTTAAGGGTGTCGTCAAGTTCAGGGAACGGACTAGTTCCAGCTGGCTCGCTTTTAATGGAAGTATTGTCAAGTCATGGCTGGAGGTCGAAATCAGCCCAACCTAACGAAGGAAGGAATACAAGTACCTTGTTCAAGATAACTGAATATGAGAGAGAATTAAACTGGAATAAACTTAGGTCCCTAAAATAAGCTACAATATACACTAAAGGGCTTCACCATTGTGTGCTGAAATTGTTATAGAAAATAGCACCTTTAAACTTTCCTGGTAAGTACATGGAATAAACTAATAGCACCAGTTAGATACCTAAGTATCATTCGTTTGCCTATCTTCGTATCTAGGTCTACGATGGACAATACTTGAAGTGATATTAAGCTAAACTATATTAATATGTTAATAGCTGTCAATACCAGCATTCATCCATTTTATTCATCCAGACGGTATCAACTACAGGAGTCCAGCCCTGGTCTGGAGGAGCAATGCTCATTATAGACGATAAAATGTCAGCTTCAGAGGCGAGGCGAGGTGGAAATTCGTAGCGCCAGAAATGGAGAATTTTAACACAATGATATCACTCGAAGGTGTATTCCTCAAACATTATTAAACAAAACCTTCCTCTGTTGCTCTTGCGTGAAAACCATATAGAGAATAGAAAATTCAATTCAATGAAAAAAAGTGTGAACAACATTTAATGAACAGAAAACAAAAGTGCGCTATTTAGCTGTTGATGAATATGCATCGAGTTTGTTTAAGCGTTGTCAACCCTTACTGAGACTGATTTTTCTCAATAACCTCTGACATATCTCTTACTGCCTACTCCCAAGGGTGTAGAACGTAAATTTGGGCACCTTTAGTTTTTGAAAACATTTCTTTTCCAAGTCTTACGAGTAAGTCGCAGTAGCTGACGGCTGCCCATTGGTCAATGTGTGTGAGGGATTGACCATAGTAGTTACACGGGCGGTAATGGTCAGCACAGGGGGAGGACGATATCACCACGTTACTTCTGAAGTGCTGCAGGACACAGTCTGAGAGGGGCGAAACATTTAATAGAATACAATACCTGTAGTGAACGGAAGATTTACGATCAAATTATATATCATTTATAAGACTTTTTCACCTCATTTTTAACAATAAATAAATAAACAAGGAAAAAGATGAAAAGAAGAAAAATATATTTTAAAGCACAAAAACAAGTTCGACCTGGGAAATATTTCAAAGCTTTGATAAAACATAAATAAATACAGTAAACACAAACGAATTGAATGCCCCTCCAAGCTTGAACAGATATCATAATAGTCCAAGTATAGTATTTTCTTTATAAACTAGAATACCTGAACAAATATTCCCCAGGAAACGGCGAATATTGATGAAGTGGAATGCAAAATCACAAAGCGTTGATGATTTTACCTTGCGTTAGTAACTTCTCGTTAACTGTAAGCTGGAATAGGAAGCTCTCTCTAAATGCGGTCATAGAGAAAAGCATAGCATCTCCTCCCTTCCTTTTCGATGACGTCATTGATGGTTCATCAATGAACATGTAAGACGGTACTGGAATTGGATGAAATGAAGAACTAATGACATATAATTTATGTATGTTAATATGAAGCAGATAGACTTGTAATATAACCAAACCATTTATCCAATTCAGACAGATTCCTTAGAATACAGTAGCATAAGTTTATGGATGAATATCGACGTCAATTCACAATACTGCACCACAATTTTCTGATCAAACTTTATTTGCAAGACAAGTGACATTACCCTGATGTTGTTCTTGTACACCAAAGTAGTAGAGCAGGTCTTCTCTATCAAGTTGTTCGTGGAACTGCAAAGCAAAAAGGTTAAATTCAAATGGGTATGCTAATAGAGAGCCTTTAGCTTTCGTATCTAAACATTTCTTTGCGACCTTAACTAACAGCTGTCATAACTAACCCTACATGGTATCAATTTTCGTATCGCGTAAATTGCCTCTTTGGGTATAAGTTTTCGTTAGCCCTTCCTTTGCATTCCTGAATAACAGCTTTCGTGATTAAGCATTACTTTGCCACTTGAATAACACTTTTCGTAACTAGACACTGCATTGTGTCATTTTTCGTATCTTGGCCTTACAATGCGTCTCTGACATCAGTTCTCGTACCGTGTGTCCCTTAATATTAGCTTTCGCACTAAAGCCTTGCATTCCTATATACATTGCGATTATGAGCATTATCTATCGTATTTAAGCCTGACCTTGTGTCCAGGAGTATCGGCATTTGAAAATAGGCCTTATATTGCGTTCATCATCATTGGCATTTGTAGCTAAGCCTTTTATAGCCCGACTTTTCATATCTGGGCAGTAGTCCCGTATAAGACATTATCCCAAGTCTCAGCTTTCATATCCGGACATTATCTTGCGTCCCTAAGTCTCACCTTTCGTATACGGACATTATCTTGCGTCCCTACGTCTCAGCTTTCATATCCGGACCTTATCTTCGGTCCCTTAGTCTTCATTTTCATATCCGGACACTACCTTGCGTCCCCGAGTCTCAACGTTCATATCCAGAACCTACCTTGCGTCCCCGAGTCACAGCTTTCATATCGAGACCTTATCTTGCGTACCTTAAATTTTCACTTTCATATCCGGACCTTATCTTGCGTCCCTAAGTCTCAGCTTTTCTATCCGGACCCTTCCTTACGTCCCAGAGTCTTAGCTTTCATATCCGGACCCAGCGTTGCGTCCCCGAGTCTCAGCTTTAATATCCGGACCTTATCTTGCGTACGTTTCATTTTCACTTTCATATCCGGTCCTTATCTTGCATCCCTAAGTGTCATCTTTCATATCCGGACCTTATCTTGTGTCCGTAAGTCTCAGCTTTCATATCCAGACCTTATCTTAAGTCCCTAAGTCTTCACTTTCACATCCGGACACTATTTTGCGTCTCCGAGTCTCAACGTTAATATCCAGACCCTTCCTGGCGTCCCCGAGTCTCAGCTTTCATATCCGGACCTTATCTTGCGTACGTTTCATTTTCACTTTCATATCCGGACCTTATCTTGCATCCCTAAGTGTCAGCTTTCATATCCGGACCTTATCTTGCGTACCTAAGTCTTCGCATTCATATCCGGACCCTACGTTGCGTCCCCGAGTCTCAGCTTCCATATCATGACCCTACCTTACGTCCCTGAGTCTCAGCTTTCATATACCGACACTACATAACGTCCCGGAGTCTCAGCTTTCATAACCAGACCCTATCTTGCGTCACAGAGTCTCAGCTTTCATATCCGGACGCTACCTTAAGTCCCCGAGTCTCAGCTTTCATATCCGGACCAATCCTTACGTCCCCGTGTCTCAGTTTCCAGATCGAGACACTACCTTACATCCCAGAATCTCAGCTTCCATATACGGACACTACTTTACGTCCCGGAGTCTCATCTTTCATATCCGGACCTTATCTTGCGTACCTAAGTCTTCACTTCCATATCCGGACCCTACGTTGCGTCCCTGAGTCTCAGCTTCCATATCCGGACACTACCTTACGTCCCAGAGTCTCAGCTTTCATATACGGACACTACCTTACGTCCCCGAGTCTCAGCTTTCATATCCGGACCCTACCTTACGTCCCTAGGGCTCAGCTTTCATATCCGGACCTTATCTTGTGTCCGTAAGTCTCAGCTTTCATATCCAGACCTTATCTTGTGTCCCTAAGTCTTCACTTTCACATCCGGACACTATTTTGCGTCTCCGAGTCTCAACGTTCATATCCAGACCCTTCCTTGCGTCCCCGAGTCTCAACTTTCATATCCGGACCTTATCTTGCGTACCTAAATTTTTACTTTCATATCTAGCCCCTTTCTTGCGTCATGATGTCTCAGCTTTCATATCCGGACCTTATCTTGCGTCCATAAGTCTCAGCTTTCATATCCGGACCGTACGTTTCGTAACCAAGTCTCACTTTCATATCCGGACATTATCTTGCGTCCCTAAGTCTCAGCTTTCATATCCGGACATTATCTTGCGTCCCTACGGCTCAGCTTTCATATCCGGACCTTATCTTCGGTCCCTAAGTCTTCATTTTCATATCCGGACACTACCTTGCGTCCCCGAGTCTCAACGTTCATATCCAGACCCTTCCTTGCCTCCCCGAGTCTCAGCTTTCATATCCGGACCTTATCTTGCGTACCTTTCATTTTCATTTTCATATCCGGACCTTATCTTGCATCCCTAAGTGTCAGCTTTCATATCCGGACCTTATCTTGCGTACCTAAGTCTTCGCATCCATATCCGGACCCTACGTTGCGTCC